TGACACTTTCAGCTATGTCTGCAACGAAAAATCCCATCACAAAAATCGCTAGACAACACGAACCTACATGTACCCAGCTACACAAGAGAATCTCAGACGTTCCGTTCAAATTTACCTTGCTCAACAGCTGTATTGGATATATAACGCCATTGTTACTTACTACAACTGCGTTCCTATCTGCGAAAAATGGCTGCACAGTTGAAAAATTAACTCGCGAGCAACCAATTAATCTTTTTACAATGTTTGTCGGTCATCCTGGCACTGGGAAATCATTGGCCATACACCATGGTTGCCTACAACCAATTGCTTCATTATATGAAGACGAACATTGCAATTTAGTACTTGACAGATGCACTTCCTCGGGCCTTGTCAAACATCTCGCTACCAAACAGTCCACGTTTCTTGTATCGCCTGAGATCTACGATGTTTTGAATAAGCTACTGAAAAATGACGACGAAAACGCTAGTGGTGATGCCATGTTGTTATGCAAACTATTTTCCGGAGAGTCTACTTCTTATACGTATTCCACAGAAAAAACCCGAGAGATTCCTACCAACACACCTTTTTCAGTTCTTAGTTGCACCCAAATGCCCAATGCTGCCAAATTAATCACAAGAATGGATCAGGGCCAAGGATTGATAGATTGATTTCTTGTCGCTGTGCCAATAGCTCTTTGTCCCACATCAGCTGAAGTTGAAACCAAGTTGTTGAAACCAGAACCAAGTGACTTGTTACAACAAGTTTTCCACTACATTGACCATTGTCAACACGATCAGCAGAATGTCTACACCTTCGGTGAAGATGCGAAACAGCTATTAAGAGTAAAAAAAAACGAATTCATCGCTGAAGTTAATGAGGCAATCCAGGACAGAAATCTCATTCCACCTAAGTCCAAGCAACTGGATTTACTTCCAAGATTAGCCGCCTCGCTTCACATCTTCAGCGCTGCAATTACAAACATCATTGCGGACATGAAGAAGATCCCATTCCAACTGTCATAACTATTGAAACATTGCAGCGTGCTCTAGAGTACATAAGTTATTTAGAGACACAGAAGCATATGTTATGTCAGGTAAGGCTCTACTAAAATTCTCAAATAATGGCCATCGAGCAATAATTTATTCATATCCACTTTCGTTGCAGTTCATTAAGGCCATAACACATGATGTCTGTGATGCACCAAGACCACAACCAACAACTGCAGATGTGAAAACGGCCATACTCCTTTTCTCTGGACCTGTCGTGACATATCGATGCTTCCGACAATGTGCACCTAGGTTTGTTCATGGCTCAACGAAGAAAGAAAATGATGAAGCAGTTGAACAACTTAAGCCACACTTGGGCTCGAGCGTCTCAATTCATGTTGCAAGAAGCGCTCAAGCCACTAAAGTATTCATCAAAAAGGCACCCAATTTGTCAACGCCGTGGCTCTATTCTTACTTGTGTGAGTTTTCGAACTTCGCAGACAAATTTGCCTTGCCTATTCACAAGTCAATTTCAAAAAATATAAAGGATTTTCTTTTACGGCAAGATTTAATTACACAAGAACAGTATGATCTTTAAGAAACTTTACTATAAAACTTTTTTGCATGCATTTGTATACAATATCTCTAAAATTACCATTGTTATAAAAAATTGTTTTCCTTGGTTCTCAATAAAACGCCCAACAAATACCGCAAAATACTTATTCTTTGTTCGAAATAAAATGCTTCCTTCTCATTACCTCTCACTTTTATGCGTAGCTGTGTAGCCACTAAAAATATAACTACCTTTTAATTAAGTCATTATACAAATGCTTCGTTTTCAATGGTTTTATCACTCCGTAGCCGTGTAGCCGCATAGCCACTGAAATACATAGCTCCCGTGTAGCCACTGAAAAATATAGCTCCCTTCCTAATTACGTCATCCCCATCAATCCCTCGTTCTTCAAAAACTCACTGCGTAGCCATGTAGCCGCATAGCCATTGAAAAATATAGCTTCCTCACTAATTACGTCACCTATATCAATCCCTGGTTCTTTAAAACTCACCGCGTAGCCGCGTAGCCACTGAAAAATATAGCTTCCTTACTAATTACCTCACCTATATCAATCCCTCGTTATTTTTTGTAAGACTATTTCATTCACTGCATATCTTCAAAAATGGACGGGTATTCTGCAATCGCTCCGATGAATCATCAGAATGAAACTAAACAACAAAACTATTGGCTAGTGTGAAGCTCTTTTATCACCCAAATGTTTGTGCTATATTTACATTCACAGTCAAAACAAAAATACCCATAATTCGGTCATTGCTACAATTATATATGTACTATAAAAACAGAAGTGTGCACAAAAAAAAACAGGTTTCTATTAATACAGATTGCTATAGGTCTAACTGGTGCTGTGTGCGATTATTACATAATAATTTAGAACATAAGAAATTAATGATCCCTATATCCCATGTAAACACCAGTACTACTACTACTACTAAAGCATTTATTTAAACACGATAAAATTACAGATGTACTGATGTGGTCGTGTGTTTACAATTAAGAAACAATTAAGCTATATATTATAAAAACCCCTATTTATTCAGTCTCATGCAAACAATATATAGATTAATATTTAACTGTTTTTAAAGTCTTTTTAAAACTAGTAATGTTATTTGAAGCCCTATGCTCATTCGATAAAGAGTTCCACAGACTAGCTGCTATAAAGGATATTGAATTCCTAAGATAGTTAGATTTAGGCACTGGTAATACTAAACTTAACTTCCTTCTAAAATCATATGTGTAATTACTTTTTTTAACTATGGATTCCAATTGTTCTGGAACATGACCATAGTAACAATTATACGCAAAGCATAACAATCGTTTTGAGTTCATGTCTCTAATAGTGTTCCAATTAGCCTTCGACAACACTTGGTCGCTAGGAGTGTTCCAATCTAATCGGTAAATAATCTTAGCAGCATGCACGTGAATTTTTTCTATTTCATCCATGAGGGTCTTACCACATGAACTCCAAATGATTAGTCCATAGGTTTAGTCCATAGATAGTTTTGGTGCGACATTGTCCGGACCACAGGTTTTATTGTTCTTAAGTTTCATTAAACCTTGCGTAATCGAATCATAAGTAAGGTCAATGTTCATTACTGTTAGTGTAATACGAGTAATGAGAGAAAAATCATTTTCAGAGCTATGACCCGAATTTAATTCTCTAGCCACTTTCTCTCCAATTGTAGAGAAGTGTTCATTAAGGATTTCTGCTTTCCGCGAGTCAGATGTTTCGATGATTTGGTCGTTTCCTCTTATACCTAAAATTGGCTGGACAGATTGATTGCTTGAAGCATTTTTCACTAGTTTCCAATAGGATCTGCAATCTTTGACTTCATCAAATAAGTTGTATAATATTCACTTTTCGACAACCTAACCTGCTGAGTTACTCTATTCCTAAGTGTACGATACTCAGACCACAGTTCCTGGTTGTTTGATTTCTTAGCCTTCAAAAACGTTTTCAAGCGCAAGCTCATCAGATGACGGATCTGGGGAGTTATCCAAGGTAACGAATTTTGTCTGATTTTGACTCGCCTATAGGGAGCATGTCTATCACATATTTCATTAAATAAATATGACTAGGCCCAGTAGCTGTCATCAGGATCGTCAAAGGCAGAGATGACAGACCATGGTGTTACCTCGACTTCTTTTCTGAACGCTTCGTTGTCAAATCGTTTGTACGTTCTAGCTGTAACCACTTTCGGTGGAGGTTGTTTAGTCTTGTTGTTTACTGATGCATACACCAACAAATGGTCTGAAATCCCCAATTCAAGTGTTTTCGTACATTTGATAGTGTTAGGGTTACTGGCTATGACCAAATCGATCAAAGTGGATGACTCGCCATTAATCCTTGTTGGTTGATCATTGACTACTAAGTAGTCAAAATGTTGAAGAATATTTTGAAGTCGTTTTCCCGTTGTTGTGATTTCACCTCCATTCCTTGTAAAGTCGGCATTCAAGTCTCCGATCACCATGACTTTTCTATACTTCAACCACACTTTTTCCAATGTGGTATAAAATCTTTGAAAGAATTCAGAGTCAGAGGGTGGTCTGTAAATAGTGCCCACAATTAATGCAGATGATTCAATCATGATCTTAAGCCATATACTTTCAATATCAGTCAATTCAAATGATTTAAGCCGTGTGAAGCAGACATGATTGGCAACATATACTAGACATCCGCCTCCGACTGTTCCTGAATCTCTATCCCTCCTGACTATCTTATAATTATCAATTTCAAGTTGATTATTCAATATTTTACAGTTTAGATGTGTCTCAGTAATCGCCAAAATATCAAAACGACATACGTACAACAGGAGCTTCACTTCCTCAATTTTATTTCGAAGACTGCGAATGTTGATGTGTGCAACTTTCATGTTATTCGATCCTGTGTCTATAGACTTCACAAAATCTTGTAAATAATTTGGAGCAATGTTCATGTCCCAGCCTGGATTACCTGGAGGCAATAGAGTTAGGATAGTAAATAACGCGACTCTTAGAAAACTTTGATGATCTAAATCTTGATGAACATATAATGTGCTTTGTTCCATTTGCACATGATATTAATCTGATAATACACGAGTTAAACTTTCCCAACAAGGGCCTAGCTATAAATATGCCATTCAGTGGAAAACCACCACTCACAAACACGAAGCTGATAGTAAAATTCACTTCAATAGCAGAATTCACATAAAGTATTTTCCAAACCGTTTTACTAAGGCCTCCAAGCTGTACGTTAGTATGATTAAGCTGGAAATCAGGTAAATAATTCGCTTGACTGGTTCCACTGTCGTAAGCGAGATGAAACATATTTTTCAATATCTCGCTTTGACTCGAAGAATCTGTAATGCCACAGTACCCTCCACTGAATTCTACACATTTCAACCCGCAAATATCTGTCAAGAAGATATAGTTGAAGAGAGAAAATAACCCCAAAATATGGAGCGAAATAGAACGTGCCGCTCTCATTACGCATTCAATGGTTGTTGACTGACAGTAACTGAAGGAAACCATTCTCTAATTTTTAAAACTACACAAGATGGACAAACTCGTCTGTTTCCTTTGGCTAGATAGCCATGGCGTGCTAATATAAATTGTCTGTAACAAGCTTTGCGAAATGCTCTCGTGCTGTTGTCTTCTCTATCATTACGGATGTCACTCCTATTTCGGATACAAAGCTCTAGCACATCTGGATCAAGGCATAATTTTGCAAAACGTGAAGTTAGGGTTATGCATTTCTTTTGTTTGCAGCATCTGTTTTCAATCTCCTGTGGCATTGGTCTACATTTAACACATGTGCACCAAGCTGGCACAGATTCTAGTGTGGGATGTGGGTCATCTGACTGAGAGTGGGAAGGGTTCTGACTTTGAGAAGGGTTTGTACCAGAGCTCAATGTGTCAACATTGGGTTCATAAAATGCACCTAACATTTCTGCATCTTGATCATCTTCATCAAGGTCATCTTCTATTATTAAAAGTGTGTCAATGTAGTCCATACTACCAATACCTCTCTGCATACTGCGAATAGCTAGCTTTCTCACCATATTCTTATCTAGTGTAGATATGAAGTTCTAAAATAAAATACAATAGAACATCACTAGTTTATTAGTTATCAATGACAATGCACAAAACTGTGCAATATCATATGTGCAATAGAAAATCATCAATTGTTCTTTTTATATGCACTTGAATAATATGTTAAGCTGGGATTACATACCTTTACATTTTTGTGTTCTTTTTCCCTTTGCATATCCTTTGATTCTGTAGTTCCGTGGGTGAGACGAAAACCTTGCCTTTGATTTCCTGTTTTGCCTTCTTTTCTTACAGGTTTGTCAGTTGTCCCCTGTACCAAAATCAGCAAATTATTTAGTATAAATCCACAATGACATTCTGCTGAACACGCTACATTTCTACCTTTGCATGGACAACCTCAGGTTCCATTTGGTTTCCTTTTGACGCTGCAAGAACTTTTGCAATCACAACGATTTTCCTATGTAAACCGATAGAACACTGTTTTGTTCAGTTCAGTTGAACTCGTTTTGTTTTTATGCAAAAAAGTTGTTAATTATGTATATTTTTATTACCTCAGAATTCATTATACAATCTTGTATGCAGCTTCAAAACAAATCAAACAATGGCAGATTATATTGTACGAACAATTTCCGACAGTCTCCGAACCCATTTTGTTATGCGCAGCAGGGATGCGCACAATGTGACACTGCTCCTTTTAAATACCATTTGGCACAGTTCACGAATGCTGGCACGAACAGTTGTGCTTTCGCACAAAATAATACTACAAAAAATGAGAAGAAAGCCTACTTGTTCACGACCATGGACATTACGATATATGTGGAACGTGTTATAGCAGAGAAAACTCGAAATCTGGAGGAAATTCAGGTGAAGCAACATGACCTAAAAAAGAAAGCAGTTAAACACAATTCAACAAGATATCACGAATTATACAAGGATTGTAGAAACCAAGTAAATCAGCTTATTAAAGACACTAAGACTAAATACTATAAGCAGAAATTAGCAAACAGCAAAAACAGTAAGGAAGGATGGAAAACAATTAATGAATTACGGAACAAAAGTTCAAAATCTACTACAATAAATGGATTAAAAACTGGTGAAGCCGAAATAATAGGAGACAAAAATATAACAGAGGAATTTAATACTTACTTTTCAACAATTAGCTCAAAATTAAGCGAGGACTTACCTGCAAGTGAAATTGACCCTCTCAGTTATATAACACCTACCTCAGAAGTTTTCAACTTAAATAACATCACTAATGCAGATCTAAGATATGAACTGGAGAAAGCTAAAGATGGGAAATCAGCAGGACTTGATAAAATTTCAAATAAACTTCTCAAAGCAGCAGGAGAAACCATTATTACTCCCTTGACTTATATTATTAATCTATCAATAAACACAGGAATTTTCCCAGATGGATTAAAATACACAACGGTTACCCCTATTTATAAATCAGGAGAAAAAACGGATTGTGGGAACTATAGGCCCATTTCAGTAACATCAGCGGTTGCAAAAATCTTCGAAAAATTAATTCACAGACAACTGAGCCAATTTCTAGAAGCTAACCAATTACTATCACCTAATCAATCAGGCTTTCGTACCCAGCACTCTACAGAGACTACACTTTTACATTCTATAAACGAATGTCTTGTAAACATGGACAAGGGCTTGATTAATGGTCTACTGTTTCTGGACCTTAAGAAAGCCTTTGACACGGTGGATCATAAAGTACTAATTTCTAAACTAGAACTTTACGGAAGAGGAGAAACATTATCATGGTTTATATCTGACTTAACAGAAAGAAAACAAGCTTGCAAAATTAACCACGAAATCTCAGACATGAAAAATATCACTTGTGGCGTCCCCCAAGGGTCGATTCTTGGACCTTTGCTTCTCCTGCTGTACATCAAGGACTTGCCAAATTGCTTAACCTCCACAAAACCATCCATGTTTGCGGACGATACTAACCTTTTCTGGTATGGTAAATCAGCAGTAGATATTGAGTACAAAATTAACACTGACTTAGATAACGTTCATAAATGGCTAGTTTCGAACAAATTAACCCTAAATATTAGTAAAACAGAATACATGATTACAGGATCCAGACAACGGTTAAACCAAATTCTATCAGACCCTGAAATTACTATTGCCGAACAAAAGGTTATAAGGGTTGATAATAAAAAATTCTTAGGCGTAATTGTTGACAAAAACCTTAAATGGCATGACCATATTGATGCGCAATGCAAAAAAATTTCTAAAAATATCGCTTTACTGAGAAGAGCAAAAAACTACATGACTGACAGCGCCCTTAAGATGATGTATAACTCCCTAGTTTTACCCCATTTTACTTATTGTTCGACAGTGTGGCACCACGGAAACACCACACATATTGACAAACTCCAAAAACTACAAAAAAGAGCCGCTAGGGTTATCACAAATTCAAATTTTGACATTAGAAGTGCAGAGATTTTTAAAACACTACGATGGGAACCAATCGGGCACATCCTAAAATGAGGCGACGAACAAATAACATTTAAGGCAATACGAGGAATAACACCAACATATTTAACTGAACTGTTTAGTACCTATCAAAATACTTGCTATACTCTGAGAAGCAAGGATCGGAAACTCACTTTACCAAAGCCAAACACTAACTTTCTTAAAAATAGATTCTCGTATTGCGGAGCAGTAGCTTGGAATAATCTTCCTCGTGAAATTCTTGACAATTATGAGTCTCTTTCATTGAATTCATTCAAACAATTAAGTCAAAGACACAAAATGAAAAACTCTGAACAACCGTGCAAAATTTATTTGTAGCAGAGACATATTGTAGCATTTTGGCTGTTGTCACTTTGTATATAATGCATGAATATATATATTAAGCTTAGGACTTGCATGATTTTGAAATATTTTTAGATTTTTATTGCATGTGTGTGGAGCACGGCCCTTTGAAAAACAGGTCACTGAAAGGCCACCGTGCATAAATGTTTAAATAATAATAATAATAATAATAATAATCTTGCAAGCAAAATACCGGCAGTTGATTCTCCAGAATCTTTTTTAAACGCCAGTTTCATATCAAACTTTTGCTGAACAAAAAGTTACTACGCGGGGTCATATTTCTCTAGATTTGCCGCTAAATATAGTTTTTTCCTTCTTGCCGTTTCTGCATGCCGGCTATTCATGAGTTGCCATTGGAATATTAAAATATAGGTTATGGGTCGTGTTTTGAATATATTTTTACGGCAATTGGAGTTAATTAAAGCTCGTCATTTTTTAGTTGTTTTGGATCAATTGCGCAATATTTTACTAATGTTTCCTATTATGCCTGCTGCGTAGACTCAGGGATTGGACGTGAGCACGAACTGCGCAGGTCTATGACTATAGTTTCCGCCAAATTTGAATAGAGCGCAAAATTTGCAACATTTTGGTAATAAATTGTTTAAAAAAATATCGAGTTTAGGCTCGTCAAAATGGCCTGGAAGTTCTGGGTGTATTTTGTCCTTATTCTCGCTGTCACTGTGCAGATAGCGGCGGCTATAAACAAAAACGGGGCAGAAATTTGGACGGACACATCGTCGCAGTTTGTGTATTGCATAAGCAAGTAAGTCAACACAACATTATTTATTCATATATTCCAATATTTTCCGTTACTCAGTTGATGGTATACAAAATATATGATCAGGCAGATCAGCTTTATAGTAGGTAATTTTTGTTATTTTAAATATTGCTTCATCGATTCGTTCGTATAGCTATTTGATTTACTCATTGTCAACTGAGCTGGAGCAACTAGATGGTCAAGATTATATCTCTTGGTTGACCATGGTTGTCACTGAAATCCTCATTAAATCAGGTATATATGGAATAGAACTCAACAACCGTATTATTCAAGTATTTAAAATTAAAATCAGTAAACTGAATTCTGCGATGAAAGAGCGAAAAAAGCAGGTAGCAGACAGTCTATTAAACTGCTGAATTTATGGAAGAATTCTTCATATAAAGTGAGTATTCATTTACAAAACTGATATTGGAGGGTTACAGAAAGAAAATGTAGAGCTACATGATGGAAAAAGGAAGCTAGAAAGTGCCTTGGAAGCTGAATGTGTAAAAAGAGCAAAAGTTGAAGAGGATTTAGAATTATTAAAGAAAACTGAGTCCAAAAACCGAATTGCATACACAGGCAAGTTTAAGCAACTTGTGAAGAAAATTGCAAAACTATCATCCAACAAAAAGACAAGGGGTCCTGGTAAAAAGAAAGAATTTAGCAACTACACAAAACAACACCAAAAAAGAGTGCAAAAGCAATTGAAAGAACAATGTGAAACAGGACTGTCATTTCTCGGGCTCTATGGATTTGTACCATCAAAGGTTGAATTGTATGTGATAATTCCTGGAGAAAAAGCTAAGGTCAAGATCAGTGGAGATGGAACTAAAGTTGGAAAAAGATTAAATAGTAAATATTACTTACACAATTATTAATGAACAGAATCGAGCCATGAGTGAGAAGGGTAATTACCTTTTGGCAATTATTAAGACAAAAGAAAGCTACAAAACATTGGCAGAGAGCTTAAGAGATATAATCCAGGAATGGAAAGCATAAATGTTGATGACACAACCTACCCACTGGAATATTTTCTTGGTGGTGACTGGAAATTCCTGGCATGTGTGTGCGGTATAGGTGGTGCAAATGCTGATTTTGCATGTATATGGTGCACATGCCCTAAGAATGAAAGGTACAACATGAAAAAATCTTGGTCAATTCTGGATCCAGATTTAGGAGCAAGGACAACCGAAAAAATTAAACAGTTTGCCAGAAGAAAAAAGTTTAATTGTAATCATGAACCTCTATTTCCATTCATTCCTATAAGCCATGTTATTATTGACATGCTTCACCTATACCTCAGAACAACTGACAATCTTATTGAACTACTTATTAGGGAACTGAAAACGTGTGATGCAATCCAAAAGAAAAAGCAATTTACAGACAATTTTGCAAGGGAAAAATATAAACACATGGCTGAGTATGAAAAATATCTTCAAAGCCTAGGGATTCCATTTCAGTTTTATGTAGGCAAAGAATCGAAACAGCTGGAATACAGGGATTTAACAGGGCCAGAAAAACAAAAACGTTTTAAGAATATCAAAATTGCATCTCTTTTACCAAATTGTCCACATTCTGAAGAAATACAACAAATTTGGAATGATTTTACTACTCTCACAGAGGATTTGAAACAGGATGTGGAAATTGATCAGGCAGTGGAATTCAATTCAAAAGTCAAAATGTGGATGAACAAATTTCTGAGCATTTATCAAACAAAAGATTTCACCCCATATATGCATGCCTTCATCCAACATGTTTCAGAATTCCTTTCGCTTTATGGAAACATTGAACAATTTACGCAACAAGGAATGGAGAAATACAATGATATTACCTCAAAAAACTTTTTTAGATCAACAAATCACCAAGGTATTTCAGCTATTAAGCAATTATTTTTTAAAAGAAAACGGGTACAGCATTTAGAGGCTGCTGGATGTGCTCGAGCAAAACGAGATTACACTTGTTCAAATTGTAACAATATTGGACATACAATTAAGACCTGTACGGCAAAATGTAATAGCTGTAATCATGGAACATGCTGCTCCCATTTAACAAAAATTGGTGCTAAATATAGAAAAAAATGCACAATTGTGGAATAATAAGCACTGTTAATAGTATATGGATTAATCTTAACAGTGGCATAGCTAGCAATAGCAATGTTCATGATGTGCTAATTTCAATAATGTGGTAAATTATTGACCTTAGCTAAAGAAGAATAAGTCTAAAACATCATGCTTTGTGCTGCCATGTTTATAGTTTCATGAATAAGAAAATAGTGATATTATATTATGTCAACTGTGAAGATAGCAGCACACTGCATGATGGTTGAAACTCATGCTTTAAGCTTTCAATAGAAATTTATTGTCTTGGTATGTCAATATAGAAAATTTCACATTACATGGCCAGTACTGTTGTAATGGCCAGCTATGCCACTTATACTTTTATTAAGCACTTTCCAATAGGTTCACTTGGTTGGAATGCGCACTCGGGCATCCAGCAAAAGCAGGCGCCTTCGGAAACTGCGTCCGAAGATAACTTCCGATTGCTGAAGTTACATCTTGCGTGTTGTTGCGTGAGTCTTGCGTGATCATCGAAGAAGCAGAAATAATAATTCACGGAACGAAATATTCAAAATATTTTGGTTTGTATTTTCTAAAGAATATAATATAAATTGCCAGTTTTTGTTATTCCTGCCGTCGTGTGGCCGTGATTTAGCAGAACTTTAAAGTAAGTATTAAATTTCAATATCAAAGTGACATAATGTGGCTAAATTGATCTATTGTACATGCATATATACTGTATTTACACCTTTAATATAATACAGAATAGACATAGTTATGTGATACACCACAGTTCATTTTCATGCAGAAATATTTTTGTATTTGTAAATTTAAACCAGTAATCCTAAAATTATTATTCAAGAATATAGATAAGTTCCAATATAACCAGGGAGCAGCATGGCAGCCCCTTCAAACAACTTAGCATCAAATGTGAAATGTGGTATAACAACTGCGTAAAATAGACAAAACACTTTTCGACGTTTCGACCTGAAGGCCTTCGTCAGGGAGTTTGTATCTTAGACTAACCACATTTGATGCTATATTATTTAAGGATGCCTATAGATATTTGAAATGCTACTGTATAATATTCATTTCATGGTAGCATGCATATTTTTCTCTGGCAGATAATTTTACTTTACAGTGTATGCATTAGTGAAGTACTGCCACTGATCTCATCTAGTGAATGTTTAAAATGTTTGAATGTTTTAATGCCTTTCAATTAATTTAACATACCAATGTCTACTTGCTTTCATGAAATTTACTCAATCCCCTCCCTACTGTGCAATTTTAAATCCAACAGAGTGATAGTTATTTATGGGGAAGGTGATGACGAATGAGAAAAGTAGTTGTTCCAAACTCAAGTTGGAGCCCTAGAAAGCATGCTGACCTTCTTATGATCCTATATGTTAGGACAATATACAAGGTGGGAATTTCCCTTCTTTTGAATCAGTGTTTTAAACAAGGCCTCAGTCAGAATTTATGACTGTAAGCAAAAGCCTCAGCTTGCCAGTGGAATAGGGGTTAGCCCTGGAATGATTTTTGGACCTTGGAATTCTGTAATTGCCAAAAATTGATGAGAAACTTTTGGCTGGGGGGAGTGTCAGTGGAACCTTCACTGTATGTCAAACTTGCTGGATCTTGGTTGAAGAGTAACAACACAAGAAATGCAATGGCAAACACCCCACAATCGACATAATTGGGTTGATACTGTACACGTGGTATGTTGATTGTTATTGACGGTGATGATTCAAAGAGTAGGCCAGCAATTTGCTTTTTCGTTGATGAGCTGATTTTCCCATTGTACAAACTGTTATAGAGGTTGATTGAAGCAGGTTTACAACCGGTATTTGATACCAAAACCCAGTGGTGAGTACCTGTGTGCAGAATTTGAAAGAAAGTTCCTTGATGTATGGAAAAATTGTTAACAGGGCCAAGTGTTGTGTTTTGTAAACCACAGGCATCAGGAAATTGCTTATGCAAAACATTGTGAGCAGCCCCAATAATGTGATCTGTGAGCTCTTTTCTTGTTATAATTGTATTTCTGTCAACATCACTCATTTTAAATTGTCCATGTTTTGCCGTCGGGCCGTAAACTACTTTTTTCAATTCTATGTCTGATTCTTCATCCACAGGTTCAGAATAGGTATGGATTATTTCTTTCTTCACATCAGTTTGAATCATATTTGAATCAGTTCGTCCAATCTTTGCTTTTTTCCCTTCAATTTCCATCAAACTTGAAACATAGCAACGTTTTAAGGTCGCTGCTTTTTCACCACTTCGACCTGACCAAGGATTTTTCTTTAATGGTTGTGGAATAGGTTTGAAAGGATTAGTTGAATGGCTTTTACCATTAGCTTTGGAGGTACATGCAGTGGTTTTCTTCTCTGGCGCTTCTAGCACTAGGCCGTTCTCTTTGGGACTAGCATCTGTCAATAGTTTATAGCATTCATCCAATTTGACTTTTACTTGATTCAAAACATTGGCATTTTCCCATCCTTCTGCAACGAACGTTAGATTTTTTATTTGACCTAACTTTTCCCGGCATCTTGCTGCTTCTGTTCTGTGCGAAGATGGCTTTCGTTTGAGCTCATCTACAAGAGTGGGTGTGACGTCCTTTTCATTTTTTGTTGCTTGGTTTTCATTCTCAAGGGCTTCGTTGGGTTGTAAAGGATCCTCTGGATTCAATTGGCTATTTTCTTCATTTCGCGATGATTCAATTATGGGTTTGAAACCTACTCGATCAACCGTCAGGAATTGGGATTCCGTATACGACTTTGGTAGTTTCTCGAATGACCACAAAGGATAGTTTCTGAATATCGCGAAGAAGTGTTTGCATGGCAGTCTGTGTCTTTCCCAGTCATAACAATCACAGCTCGGAGAATCATCAGAGTCGCTTCCGAATGACAATGTATAAAACTTGCTTGAGTCATCTTGACTGCGAACTTCAAATTTTCCGTGAACGTCGTCAACAACATTAATGTGGGCTGGCATGGTATCTTCTGAAGAAGCAAGCCTTTCCATGCAATGCTTAATCATAGGGTGTGGTCTTTCATGTAGATATGAGGGAACATCAGAAGTATATTGACGGTAGTTGCTTTGTAATTTGGTATTTAATTCAACGTATCTGTGTAAAAAGGAAGAAAATTTTAAAAATTCTTAATACATGCATCGTCAAAGGCAGCACAATTTTGGACCTTGTGCTATATTGAAAACTCTCCCACATTATGAGCGAAAGGGAAAATCTCTTTAACATACTTTTTACTACACTTTGTGCTAAAAGCAGTAGACGATCTTGGATACAGAACTACTCACGTGAATGGAAATACAAGATGACAAGATATGCAAGTTTTTCATTGACTCACTTCAAATATTGATCTGGCAGAAAGTCTTCAATTAGCACTGTAAGCATCACGCTTAATGTCGAATGCTTGTAGCCATCCAAATATTCGTACTTGAATGCTTTGTTCTGCCTTTCCACACCGTTGTTGGTGTTAATGATAGTCAGCAGTCGATCTTTTTGGTAGGCCCATACCCATTTCTATAAATTGCAGTAATGACGAAAATTCTAATAAGAGTATTTTACATTTTAGTGTAGCTTAAATCGACTTCGCTGCTATTGCAAGAAAGAGTGACAAGAATTTACGTTCGCTTCTACGAGTTTCTTTAAGGTGCGTTTATACAGTGAGAAAAAATGTTTGTCAATATTCAAAGAAATCCTAAAATCAGCCGTCAAACTGCCATTATCTTACCCCTATCATGCTGCATGCCGAATTAGGAGAATCATGAAATCCCTTACCTTGTGTTCAGGCAACCATGTATTACCAATCCAGTTGTGCAGCTTTCCATTCTTCAGATGTCTTCAGAATTGCAACTTTTTCATTATAATCCCTCTCCGTCCTCGCTCTGGCAATGGCCCGTAGTTTTGCGAGCATCACATTCTTTGATGAGACTAGCCCATTGCTAGTTTTAGCTAGCCATCGTTCCCACGCCTGCTCCCGATGGAAATCGCAGATGTATATCTGACTCTCTGTTTAACAAATATTGTAGTATTATCCCAAATGTCTACATTGTCTAGCAATAACTACTTTTTTGCTCAATTATTGTTTCTCGTGCACTGCCACATGCTAGTAGAACTACTGTAAAGTACATATAAAAGTTTTGTTGTCTATTATTGGTTGTACAATTTCGTGTGCTGCCAGTCCAGAAATACCACATACATTTTGTATTTTTCTATAGGATTTTAGTGGATGACTGCCAGCTCCCACAAAGAATTTTTCACCACAGAGAGAATGGATTCCAAATATTGGTTTTTTCATAGGTTTATAACTTACCTGGAAATATTCTCTTGATTGCAGACATTTTTTCTTCGGAGTAGTCTACCATGAAGTATGCTGGATTCCATCCTTTGTTCCCACCCTTGATAACCTCGAAAGCTTCTGTGATAGCGTACGATGTTTCACTTTGCAAGACAAAAGAACCCACAACTTGATAGTTTACATTGGTCTTTGCCACAAGGAAAAATAGAGCGAGACTGTATTTTGTCGTTTTGTATGTGGCATCCAGAAGAGTAAGTTCATTGGCATACCTCTGGAGAAGGCGCCTCTGATTCTCGGTTTGATGGACGAATAACAGTCCGTTTTTTGAATTTGGTAAGACTGCGTTGTCATCATCATCGTCATTTTCATCGTTGTCATTATCCTCGCTATTTTCTTCGACGGAAGATGACTCATCTGAATATTTGACAAGCGGACGGAAGAAAAACATCTCATCAGGGCATTTCAATTTCCAGCACTCGATCTTCTTTTGAAGATTTTCTTGATCGAATTTTGAAAATTTTTCCTTTGACGACTGCCTTGTAAATATGGCTGCGTATCGTCGTTTGCTCAATGCCTCCTCACTTCCTTAACCGAGCGAGCCACAGCAATGACCAATTCTTGGATCTTGGTGACAAGCGTCTTATCGATTCCTTGATGAAGACCACCAGCCTATTATAAAACAGTACGAAACACACTATAAGCTTGTATTGTACATAAATTTAAAGATTTTTAAATTAAGATTCAGAAAGACAAGGTTACTGGATATGGATCCAATGTTCTCCACTGCCACCTTCTTTCACATAATCTCTTAGTTTTTTTGACATCGTTTTTTGTCGCTTTATTGTTTTCTACGTGACCTAAAAGGCGTAAAAATTTTGATAAGCGGCTCTCTTAATATAGGTCCAGTGATTGAAGGATTACGACATGGAGGGTGGGGGTGGGTTGTATTACATTCCATATAATTGCTCCGAGAGGTTGAAGGCCGTCCAAGCCATGGAATGTGTTAAGAATAATCCCTTATCTTTGTATCTTGGATATCTGATATTTCATATATATGTACAGTATGTTTGATACTTACCTTAAAATCTGGAAATTTAAAGTATTCTCGCATGTGAACCTGCGCTGGACAATCCAGTTTCCTTGTTCCTTGAACCATATTTCGGTGTTTGGTAAACACGTGGTCGCTAGAATTTAACTGCAAGAAATATATTTACCCACAAGTTTCATTGAAAGGTGTCTTACACAGAAATGTTACCACGAAAAAACAAAATAAATGACTAGAAAAACTGGTTCACTATAGTTCGAGATAAAATAGACAAAGTGAATTTTATTTGCAGCGTGTAAGTGTATGTACATTGTGTAATATGTGTGTATAATAAATGTATGTATTTACCGTCTTGTTTTTTTTCTTTTGGCTCAAGTGTCTGTCCACTCCATGACGACAATCGTATACCCTATGATTCACTTGAACAAATGGTGTATGATCAAATGGAAGTTGACCATCTTCCCACCAGACCTTGTGACTGTCTCGTGTGAGGTCTATTTTATCAAAGTTAAAATATAAAATTTGGTATCATTACACTATTAAAAAACTATATAATTAATTTTCGGAATTTATATATTCATATGACTGTGTCCATTGTAGATAGGGGTCGTGGAGCCGCGAAGCATTAGAGGCAGATGCGGCTCACTTGTACAAGGGACAAGGGTGAAGTCACATAGGCAGCTCAATGGCGATTGTTTAATTTGAAGTAGAAATGTCCTAAAACATTGAATATTTGAGCAAAGCCATCCTTATTTTGATGAAATGGATATAAATATAATTTATTTATTTGCCATACATGCTTTAAAATCTTGTTGGTTAAAATCTTCAAATCTTGTTACAACGGGCGATGTGCGTCTCTGACAAAGGTTCATGTAATTATATTTTATTATATATAGTATAATATTATTAAACAGCTCGGGTTTTTTTCGGGAGAATTATTAAAATAATTATATTTTTCACTCAAACTTCCCGTCAGTTTCGTGCCAAATACGTCATGCATATCAGAAATAGGTAAATTTGTATTCCACGTACGTGGATAACACTATTGTAAATAATATACATTTGATAATATACATACCAGTGTTGCCGAATCCCTTCTTTGCCTTATTACAACAAAAATTTGTCGTGCTAGCTAACTCGTATTCCCGTAGGAGGTTTTCTGCTTCCTCAACAGTTTGCACTAGTCCAGAGCGCTCAGACAATTTTATTTTAAACAAGGAGGTTGCTGAAGAAATATCAATATTTTCCATGTTTAAAATATTTGCATTTTCGCGCACTAATTTGCCGCGAAAAATTCCTAATGTAATTCATTATGGTGCAAAATTGATCACGCGTGGCTTCGCGTTCCATGCGACAGATCGCGATTAAACTTCGGGCAGTCGGAAAATCATCGGATGCAGTTTCTGAAGGCACCTACTTTTGCTGGATGTCCAAGTGCGCATTCCCACTTGGTTGCACTTGTTACATCATCAAGAGTAAATTTATTTGCTATGTCTTTGATTGTACTGTTGCCGGTTCCCATCTCCTCGAACAAATGTAAAAATTGCTTGGTGGGTATCCTCAATCTCAGATTGAATGTATTTCCCATTTCCTAATATTTTGAATTCAACAACTGGAAATTTCTTGTTAAGCCAAAATGTTATAGTCTTTTCAATCACATAAGCAAAATCACCATTTGTATTGAATATTCTTTCATCCCATTTCTGCCCAATAACCGTTTCAAGTAGCCTGTTTGATTGTAAGTGGTATACAATCCTTCCCCTCTCTTTAACCCCTTGCATCAAATTGCCAAGCACGTGTATAAAAACATCACGATCCACATCAACTTCGATTTGAACATTTACGTATCTATGTCTACCGGAATAAAGCTTCCTTTTAACTTCTGTATACAGTTTATGTTTAAATAATTCCGCCCTTTGCTCGAGGGAGTCTGTGTCAGGTATTGGCATTCTCTCTTGTTGCACAAAAGGGAAATACGATTCATGCTCAACATCGAATAGCCTCCACTCCTCATACTTTTCACTGTAGCCTTTATAGTGAATTTGCACCAAATTCCCTGCCTTATCGACTTCGGTTACTTCTACCTCATACAAATTTTTATCCTTTTTAACCTTTTTTACTACTTCAGCACTCCAGGAAACGTCAGATTCATATATTAAACGCTTTGGCGGACGCGAATCGCGCCTTGGTCTGTCCGCCATGTTTGCTTTTCATACCTGATTATGCAACAATTACGCAATTTTTGCGTCGGCAGGGGCTTGGCACTACTTAGTAGCAAATGTTCAAAATCATGGCAAAAAGTTTGATATGCCTGATACAATTTTCTTGACACCAACAACTAAACAAGAAATTATAGATGTATCTAAAAGTTTTCAATCGCGTAAAGCCCCAGGTTATGATAAGATTTGTATGGGTTTGGTTAAACAATGTATAGGTTTTATATCTCGCCCATTAACATATAATGTTAATCTTTCTTTTTAATGTGGTATTGTACCAGATCAAGTGAAAATAGCTTGAGTTATACCTTTATATAAGGTATGGTTTATATCCCTTCATAAAGAAAGAAGCGCATTACATGCAATTATTTTCCGATTGTTGCATGCCACATTTAATTCGGATCCAAACTGAAATTACACCCTATTCAATTGTAATGGAACACAATCAATGAAAGTGCACAGGTTATTATATGATGCTGCATTTAATGAGGTTAAATTAATGTCTACCTGCTTGATACTTGCCTGATGAAAAACCTGCTTGTTACATAAATTCTATAAAGTTTTTCCTTAATCCTAACATCAATCCTATCCAAACATACTAATTATAATAGGTACAGATGTAAATGTTTGCCTGACCAAATACAAACAAACTTTAAATGCTTGCCAATACGGATTAGGAATATACTTTCTTAGCTATACCTCAGAAAGCTGCTGTTCAGGAAGCTGCTGTAACCTTAACCAAGCCCTTAGATAGATGTTTCAAGAGGTTGTTTGCACATTTCAAGAGGCTCTTTGTATATTTTAGGCAATTAAATTTTGTTTTTGCTGTAGTGCATATATATTATATATTATCATAACACATTAAAGTAGAAATAATTGTATAGAAATGTTATATAATTGTCACAGAATAGCTAGTGATTGATTGCCGAAAGATTGAAATCTTAATAATCAGCTGCCTGGAAGACCCATGGGTTCATATATGACTCTCATAAAAAAATACGATATAATAGGCTTGCTTTTAGACTTTAAGTGAAAAATGACACTGTAGGCCCATAGTCCCATATGTGACCTGAATATATTAGGATATTGGCGTTTATGAGGCGCCAAATGTGACAAAATATGTTATAGTAGTGTGTTATGTATTATTTGAAATATACAGGTTACTCCTTGGTATATATGTATTAAAGATGCGTGATATATGTTACAAATTAAAACCTGCAACATGTATCACTATCTGTCATATACATCGTAATTACTGATATATATCACACCGTGTAATATATGTTACGCCACTCGTGATATATATTAGGAATAAACTCGTGATATATCGTAGAAGTCGAAACATCGTGATATATATCACAAGAACATCGAAATACTTCATCTTATCCTGTGTATTAGGTGCCAGCCAGATAACATTGCTGGGTACGGGGGGGGGGAAGGCATTGAACATTGAACTAAATGATACAAGGCAACAACACTGACATGAAGTATCGCTAGTTTCCCAAAATGGCGGCAGCGCCAGAAGACAATATCGAGACATTTTTGAGAAATATTCCAAGTCAAATTGGTGAAGCTCGTCGTCAATTATTTTGTAATAATATTAATGTCATCGAATTCATTCAGCGACGCCTAGAGGACAGCCTATTTGTGGTAAATATACTTCAACAGCGTTCTTCAGAGCGTCAAGGCGGTGCAGCCGACCAACAGCTTCAAGATGACCTATGCTTTTTGGTGGGTGAATTACAAACAATGTGCAACAGTTACGATGAACTTTTGTTAAGAAATGACACTTCCCACCAACTAAATTTCACTTGCCAATTAGAAGAGTCTCTTAGAGGAAGAAAACGATACAATCTTCCACTTACATAGAATACACGAAAGTTGGGTCCAAGTTGCAGCCGAAGTTGGAGTAAGCTACCAAACTCTCTTGCGACGTCGTCACGAGTACAGCTTACCTGTTAGCAATACAAGTGGGCCACGTAACATATACACTGAAATTTCGCAAACTGATTTGTGTAATATAGTTAGAGAAGTTTTGGAAATTTTACCTAACGCTGGTGAAACGTTTGTGTTGGGTGCCTTAAGACAACGGAATATTCTGATTCAGCGATGGAGAGTGCGAAATGCAATAAGCATTGTGGATCCATTAAGTCGTGCCATGAGGCGAAGTGTAGCTATTCTACGTCGAGTTTACAGTGTCCCATGTCCCAATGCATTGTGG